TCTGTCTGTCTACCCACTGACGTAAAATCCCCTGTGCATTGGGTGTCTGTGAGGGCATCGTGGGCAGACACTTGCTTGGAGTTCCTGATTTGCTTTACTGCTCTCTATTCCACACTTCCAATCTGGGAGCTTGCTCCTCGTTTTTGGATTAATCTGTAGAAAAAAAACAGAAGTGGAAATCTTGCAGAAAGCAGACTTCCTTTCTTTGTCTTTCCTGACTTTGTCCTCTCTGTTATCTCGACAGCTTTCTATTTGCTGCTGTGTTTCCCTTTAATCTGCAGCCCTCTGTTCTTACCTGAGCTACAGAGGACTGACGAGTAAAACCACTGAACTTGGCGATAAATGAAAGGGAACAAAGCTTAAAATGTTTTCTTTCTCTCTCATTAAAAAGAAAAAGAAAAAAAAGTAGGAAAAGGAAAAAACCCATCTTCCAAAGCACACAGCCCATACGTGATGCCGGGATTATCCTTGAGCCACCTCCTGCTTATGGATCAAGATGCATCATTTATGCCCTGGTTTGGTTTTTCTTTATCCCCCCGATGTTCATTTTGATCACAGCTAGAGGAACAAAAGTATGTGGCTCTGAGAGGAGGAAACCGTGCCCCAGTGCTGGCAAGGTTGGCTTCTGATGGAATGGAGAGGGAGATAATGTTTTGTACATGGCAAGGGACAACTCCTATGGTCAAAGATCCAAGTTCTGAGCGGGCCGAGCCTCCTATAGGCTGTGGTGGAGACAATTCCATCACAGCTCTTCCCACCCTGCTGCTGCCCATTGGAGAATACTTGGTGGGAGCTGGGGGCTTTGATGGTGGCCAGGAGCATCAGGCACGCACAGAGCTTGGCATCTTCTTGGGGTGCCTAAAGACAGGCCAAGAGGCAATAGGCACAGATTGGCTGTGGGACTGGGGTTGGAACCAGATGATCTTGAATGTCGCTTCCAACCTGAGCTGTTCTTTGATTCTGCGATGCTCTCTTGAAACACAAAAGAAAGCTTTATTTTATGGTGAGGATGGTCAAGAAAAGTTTGCCCAGGGGAATTTTGGAGAGTCCGTTTGTGGAAGTGCTCAGAAATCAGTGACTTGGTCCTGGGCAGCCTGCCTTCGCATGAGTATGGCTTCATCCCATCAAACCTTCCCCTGCCCGTGGGGAGGTGTGACAGAGGCTCAGGGTCATGCAGTGCTCTGGGGACAGCACTGGGTCCCTGGATTTGCTGTGTGCTCAGAGCACACAGTCTCTGGAGTCTTTGGAGAGGTGCCTGGTCCAGCTCTGGGCTTGTAATGGTTTGTGATGGGAATTAGTGCCCCATCCATCCGGCCCCATTCTGCCATCTAACGAGAGGAGCTAAGTGCACTTAACAACACACCAGCTCTTGTTCAGGCCCCTTCTTCCCAAGCCAGAATCAATAGCAGGTCTCCTCAGCTTTTAGAGACTTAGATCCAGTCTTTTCATCTCTCTCTCTCTTTCTCTTTTCCCAAGCAGCACACGTTTGATTTTTCTCTTTTTTTCCTCCTGCACGCCGCAGAAATTTTCCCATTCTCCCTTTCATCTGAACCCGCACAGCACTCGCCCAGCCAGGGCTGCAGCTTGAGCTCCAGATAAGGAACCCTGCAGCGCCTGGGTTCCCTGCTCCCCATCTCCACCTGGGTGTGAGCGCTCCTACAAGTCGCCTTTATCTTCAAAGTGCTTTACAAGCACTAATTAATCCTCCCAGCACCCCGCTGCTGTAGGTGAGGCAGCCTTCACCCACAGTGCTGCTTCCTCTCTCCTGTTCCGTGGCGTGGGGTTTCTCTCCCTGTGGATCTCTGCTTTGCTTGCCCGTTACTGGGGAGCAGGACCCTTTCCACTGTGCAGCATGGCTGATTTCTGCAGTGTTGCCTGCAGGTTAACACCAACCTGAGGAATGCCTCTGATCATCACCTCCGAGGGGGAGGTGAGCGGTGCTGTTTGCTGAGCCCCAGCCTGCTTGCCCTTCTATTTTGCTGCTGCCCAACTGAATTTGCCTTGGTTTGCCTTTACTGTGAGATAGCTTGTCTGCTGCTGGTCATCACCAGCATGAAGCAGCACGAGGCAATGCATCCACCTGATGCACACGCATCTGTGGTGCTGCTGTGGTCTCCTTGTGCATGGAGCTGATGCTGGAACGCCAGGAGCAGGGCTGCAGGGAGCTCAGTTCTCCCAGAGCGGCCTTTGCTGGCATCTTCTGTTTACTTCCTTAGTAGCTCTGAGTTCAGAGAGGCTTTTTTTTTTTTGCTTTTTTTTTTTCTTCTTCCCTTCCATGAAATGCAAATCAATAGATGTTGTATTCACATTCTAACAAGATGTCAAGGAGAAAAGGGTAGCCTTTCATTCAGGGAGAGACGCAAACACAGGCAGGGAGAGGCGAGGGGACAGGAAGAAGGGGGGGAGTTGGAAGGTGGGAGGGGGCCCTATGGGATGGGATGTGGCTGTGCCTTGTGCAGGGCGCTGCCAGCAGGGAGAGCAGCAGCTGGGCACCAGGCAGTGGGACTGAGCCCATAGGCACGATGCCCATAGGCGTGATGCTCTGTCCCATCATACCGGAAAGTGGAGGCTGCAAGGGAAGAGTCATGGGACCTCCAGCTTCTTAAGGCAGTGCGTTATTCCTCCAGGAGTCTGGGGGGGTCCCGGATGTAAATATGCATTAAGACAGCTTGGGAAAAAATACTGCAGACGCACATCGAAATGGTGCTTAAATGTGCCCAGCAGACCATAATGTCTGCTTTCAGATCCAGTGCTGCTGTCAAATTTGAATATACAGTTTAGATTCTCTGCCTTATATCAAGAAACAAACAACCCTATACATCCCCAAACATCCCAGAAAAGCTCCGCTGCTGAAGTACATATTTATACATCTTTTATTTTGTCTTGGAGATCAAACAGAACAGGCCAATTCCCTGTTCAGACCTGCACTAGTGAGCAGCAACAGATGCTTTTGCCCAAGCACAGTTGTTCCCATTTTACAGATGGGAAAGCAAAGGCAGTGATGTCCTGAAATTCTGGTCCTAGGCTGTGCTTGTCTAATCAGCCAATGTACGTGGAAGGAGAGCAGCTAAACGGGTGCTGGGTTTGTTTAATAGTTATTGGAAGGTTTTGGGGTGGAAATGCGAGCCCTAGCATACGGGAGGAATGTTGTGGGAGGAGAAGAAGTCAGAATGTGTTGTTTCAAAATGTGCCCAAATATAGCTTTTCAGCTCTGGGTTTGAAAGCGGAGCAGCACGCTTGTTCTGAGCCCATCAAACGCGATCGCTAATTAGAAATTATTTCTTTGTTCCTTCCTTTTGGTTCTGTGAGGATGACAGCATTGCGTTTTTCCTTGGGTGGGTTTCCCAAATCCTTTGTGAAGTGAAGAGTGATGCCTTTGTGGTCTGGGGAGGGGTGTAGGGGGAGCTGGCTCGCTCAGTGGCCATGCAGGGTCTTGCGCCCCAAAACCCCTCTTGGTTGGCAGGACGGGTCTGAGCTGCACAGGTTTGCTTGGGAGGATGAATTTGCTCATTGTCGGCCATTTGGGTGTCAACGAAGGGAAATCCAGCAGGGAAACATTGCTGTGCTCATCTCAGGCTGAACGAGGCTGCTTGTTTTTCTTTTTTTTTTTGCTCAGTGCGATGGTTTAGCTCTTCCAGAGGTCAAGGCTGTTGTGAACAATGTAGCTTTACTCCCATTAAAAGATAAAAATCCCCGGGCGCGTTTGCTGCATCGTGCACAAACTCACCTAAAGGGCTGGGAGGTGGGGTGCCTTCAGTGGATGACGTTGGGAACAGGGTTGAGTTAAAAGCTTTTGAAGAACTTGTGGTTTATTCATGGGGAATAGGAAATGAATAGAGATGGATGGGTGAAATGCAACCCGAGTTTGTCCTGGTAGTGTGTTTTTTGGCTTCCATCCCTCGTTGGGTGAGCGCTGTGGTTGTGGTGTTGCACGTGGGGAGGTGCCCTTCCTGCTCTTGTTTCTGTGGGGGGGAAAGCAGCATGGGGGGGAAGTCGATGGTTTTTCTGCTTTATTTTCTGTTTCATTGGCAGATGATGCCTTTATGGCCAGAAGGGGTGTGGAGGGAGAAGGGAGGTTACAGTGCTGTGCCCCCTGGATGGGGGGGGGGTTGAAAAGGAGATACGAAGGTGGAAGCAAAAGAAAATAGTGGGATGGTAGAGGGCAACATGTGGGAGCTCGTGGTGCCAAAAAGAGTGAGTACAGAGCTAAAAGCCCAAAGCCTTGGCTAAAAGCACCTTTAGGCTGGCCTGCAATTCAAAGCAAAAAGAGACTTAAAGCCTAAAAGTAATGGGGAAAGAGATGGTGTCGTGCCAAAGGAGCCGATTCAGTTTGCCCTTATGCATTTTAAAAGGCTCACGATATATTTTTAACAAAGCCACGATGAATGTGCAACAAGAAGCTCTTTCTGTTGTTTGGTGAACGTCAAAAAGCAGCGTTCTTCCATTTGGAAACTTCTTCACAACGCGGCAGAACCGATCCCTGGGGTGCAGAAATGCACTGAGCCGAGGGGGGGGGCTGTGTGAAGGGGGGGCTTTATGGCTGGCAGGTATCACTGTGCCCCCATGAGGAAGCTGGGGATGGAGCTGGGGAGCTGGGGCACGTGGCAGAGGGATGGATGGCGGTGTGTTGGGGATGCTCAGGGCTGGGCAGCAGTGTGGGAATGTGATGTGGGGGGGCAGCGGGGTGCAAGGAGAGGATTTAAAAACTCTGCTTTGGTGGAAGCTGGGTGGGATCGGTTTGGCAGTCAGCAAGAGCAGAGAACCCCGTTCTGGGTGTCCTCTGGGAGCTGCTTAATGCACAGAAAGGGGGGAAAAAATAGAGCTCTGGTTGGGGTGCAAGGAGACAGTTCTCTGTGTCAGATTTTTGTGCAAAAACCACCCACTCACGCTCCCAAGCTTGGGAGCCTCTGCTCGCCTCCCTTGGCAGCAGGCAGAGCTGCCGGCTGCTCCCGGGGGGGCCCTGAGAGGGGCGAGCTGGGGGGCTGCCAGCCCCGGCTGGGGGCACGGTGTGGGCAGAGCCCCGTGCTTACATCACCGCTGCTGGGCTGAAGGCGGCCGTGGGACGTGCGGGTCCTCGTGCCCGGGGGAGGGGGGGTGCGGGGGGGATGATGCCCGTGTTGAACTCCCCGGTGGCACAGAGAGAGTGTGCGGGTGTCAGTCAGCAACCCGAACCAATGGGTGCCCGGTAGGAGGTCTGCTTCCCCGTGCACGGCCGGAGCCCGGTGCTTTTCGGGCTAGTTGTGCGTGCGTGTGCGAGGAAAAATCGGAGCCGCTCACTGCCTGCTCCTCTCTCTCTCCCTCTCTCTCTCTCTCTCTCTCTCCAGCTCGCTAACTCAGTCTCCCTCCCACTGCAAACATTGGATTTAAACCTGCTCAGCATTCAACGCAGACGAAAGCAGCGGCGGCAGCAGCAAGCAAGCAAGCAAATCAGCCGCGAGCCGACCGCAGCTCCAAGATGTACCATCCTGCCTGCTGGATCGTCTTCACCGCCACCACTGCCCTGCTCTTCATCCCAGGTAGGCAGTGCGGGAAGCTTTTCCCCCCCCCGGGGCCTAGAGGGGAGCGGTGCAGAGGATGGAGAGGTGGTGGTGCGTGCTGGGGGGACCCGGACTTGATGCCTGTAGTGCTTGGCTGCACGCAGCAGCGAGTTGCTCTGCATCAGGGCTCGGCGAGTGCTTGCAGCAGGGTTCAAGGCAGCAAGCTGGCCTCTGGGGAGAGCTCTGGGTGCTGGCAGTGCAGGAGGATGGCATTGCACATCGAGTGTGCGTGCTGCCTGCATGGGAAGCGCCGGTTCTTCTGTCCAAGCCCTGTCTAGACGTGGTGGGAGCTGGGATCACGCAGCTCTTTCCCCTTCCAAGTTGGGCATCTCCTGCATCCCTCTCTCCTGTGTGAGCTGTTGTGCTGTTCACCCTGCTCCCTCGCATCCCTGCTGATTGCCACTGGGCAAAACGGGCTGCCAGCCCCGTGCCTGCTTTTACAAAGTGAAGATGAAGCCCCCGATGTGGGCACCTGCAAGAATGAGCCCACCTGCAGCAAAGGTGCTCGGCTGCTGTGTGCTGGGCAGGAGGCTCTCAAAATGCAGACTGGCCTTAAGATGAGGGGGAGACGTGAGGTTTGCATTGAGACCGGCTCTGAGCTGATGCTCAGCAATGGGGCAGTGAGCACAGCTCTGCAGCGTATCCATGGGGAGGGGGAAGCAGCAGAGTGGGCAGCAGAGCTGCTCCTGGGGGACAAGTCACTGGTATTTTCAGACAAGGATGCATGCTTCTAGCAGCTGAAAAGATTGCAGCCCCTGTTGAAACAGATGGGGACTGGATGTTGAGGCTCGGATCCTATCTCAGCCCAACATGTGTTTTTCATGACTGTCAGTGAGAATTATGTTGGACTCAGGAGGGCAGGGAAGATGCACAGCTGCAATTTGAGCCGTTCTCTGTGGTTTAGTTCCAGCGCTTCTCTGTGCTGGGCTGGGCTGTGTGAGAAGCTGGAGGGGGAAGAGATGAGCTGTGTCATAGCTGGAAAACAGCTCTCACCTCTGTGAGACAGCTGTGATGAGCACAGGAGTGCTTGGGCTCCAAGTTGCTGCTGGAGACTCACGTCATGGGACCGTCTGTGTCCAGGGGTGCAGTGCCTGAGGGATGAAACAGCCACAGACATGGGCTGGGTGCTGCTGATTGATGCTTGGGTTCCACTGATGCTTGCTGCGGTGGCAGGGCGACACGATGTGTGCTAGGTGGGCATGGGCTGGGCAAGACGTGCCACTGGAGGACCTCCAACAGCAATGCCTTTCATGTGTTGTTTTTGGCTCCCCAGAAAGCCACGAGTCAAAATGGTGCACCTATAGCACAGCAGAGAGCACGTGGGAGCAGGGATGATGCACTCATCCATTGGAGAGTACAAGGGATTTTCAGGGGAAGTATTGCAGTGTCTTATCTGGAGCAAAACATGGCAGTGGGTTTTCCTGGCGTGGGGGCAGCTTGTCTGCCTAGTGCTGTTGGGTTGAAATTGCAATGAAATGGATGCAAGGCAGCATCCAGAAGAAAATGGACCATGCAGTTAAGCCTCCAGTAACTTGGGAGAGGTTTCTTGATCTGCACTTTCCCGTTGTAGCTTTGCCTTCTTATTTATATTGAGCAGCAATATCTGCTTTGGCTCTGAATGTCCCCTGAGTCAAACCAGCCTAGGAATTTGCCCAGCTGGGCTCAGCTGTTAATCCATCACACAGAAACCTGCTGCCTGCAGTAGAGGAAGGAAAGCGTTCTGGTGTGCCAAGCTGCTGCCTTGGTCCTTTTCCGACCCCTGGGGCCTGCGTCTTCCGTTGGGTTTTTAATACTGTTGATTTTTTTTTTGCAAGCAAGAATCCCACGTGCTCTGTGCAGGTGATGCTCCCCTGGGATGTGCAGAGGCTGTTTGTGAAGCGTGAACTCTTTTCCTCACCATTTGTGTGTGCATCCTGCGGGAGTTTCTCATGGGGTGGTTAAAGTGAGAAGGGAACCTGCTTTTAGAGGTGTAATTAGAGTGAAGGGAAACATCACAACTTGAAGGCTCCTGCAGAAAATAGCGCTGCGAAGTTATTATTAGCTGTAATAGCTTATTTGCCAGTTTTTTCCCTCTTTCTCTCCCACCTCTGTTCTTTGCTTTTCCTTTTCATTTTCCTCCTTTTACCTTTGTTAGGAAAGATGTATATTTTTTTTCCCACTGGGACTCGCATTGTCTCGTTACCAGTTCACTGCTGTGGAATGTAAAGACACGAAAGGTTAATGCAGTAATGAAACCCTGACCCCTCTGCTCATAGATAGCATCTTACTCTGTAGCTCTTTATTTCTTTGTCAGACGAGTTCCCATGCAAAACAATTTCTAAGGCTAATGTTGTTGTCTTTGGCTTTGGGCAGGGCTCCTGGGTGACAGTGCTTTCTGAGGTGGGCTCCTCCTGATGGGAAGGATGCAGTTATGGCATGACATCATGGCTCTACTGGTGGCAAAAATCAATGCGCGTCAGCTTGTTTAGACATTTATATTGCTGCCTTTGCTGGCTTGGCAAAATGGCTTGTCATGGCAGTGGCTCCTTCCCAGCTGGGGCTCGAGCCCTGCAGGCTCGGAGCTGTGGCAGTGCAGGCTGCAAGACAGCTGCTCCTGGTGCTGCAGGTCCTGGCATCTGGGAGCCTGCTGGGCAGAGTCCCCAGTGCCCTGCTGTCACCTCTCGCATGTAGGACTTGCTTTCTGCACCCGCTTGTAACTGAGCCTCACGTGGGCTGTGTGGCGTTGGTGGTGGATGAAAATGCAGTCTAAAATGAAGAAATAGGCACGGCAGGAGTTACAAAAGCTGTTTGCTTCCTGTTCAGGAGTGATGGCTGGGCTTGGGGTTACCGGATGCCACTGCATTCTCAATTGGGGGCTCAACTGTGACCCCTCTGCCAAAGGGGATGCAGAGCAGGCAGAGAGCTGCTGATCCCTGCAACTAAGCCGAAGAGTAAGTACCTGGAGCACGTTAGTTCTGCTTCAGTGTCGTTTCCAACTTAGACTAAAAGGGATTTTCTGAGCTCTCTCGAAGGCTGGGGATGGTAGTGGCTGCACTGCTGTGGCCATCAGCCCTCCATCAGTCAGAGATGTTGGGGAAGAGATCCCATTAGCAGCCCTATGCCCTGGGCTCCCGTTTGCCTTTCTAAGCGGTATCAGGAAGGATTGTGATAGAAGAAGGAGCAAATGCAGCTTTTTCCTCTTTGCAAACTCTCTGCATTGTAGTTTTCTGGAACAGTTTGTTCTAGGGGCTCTGGGGCTGCTCTCTCCGGTTGCTGCCTTCCAGGGTGCACCAAACTGGATGGAGGATCTTGCTTTGCTTATTCCAGCAGATTCCCTTTGACAGCATCCCCTCTGTGTGTCGTTCTGTGGTTGCAAACAGCTGGATGGAGGAGTCTGCTGGTGTGAGTCTCTGTGAAGTACTGACATTGGAGCTGGAATGAGAGAAATGGTTCAAAGGCACCAATGGGAGCTGGGTACATTAAGTGATGCTTTTGAAAATCTTCCCCAAAGGCCTGAATGTTTGGTTATGGTGGATCTGAAGTTGCATAAACAGCTATGTTCCTATTTTACACTTGAATATTCAATTTGAAGTTTGTGCTCAGCTTGGATAGAGCGTGATGAACCTCTGTGTGTTTGCACCCAGAGCTGGTGGTCACCCACTATCCTGTCCACAAAAGAGATCCCCTCCAAAACCGAGTATCGTCTTTACAAACACACATATATATATGTATATATATGTGTGGTTTTTTTTTCCTTATCAAAATCTATGGGGTCATTTGTGCTCAAAGCTGACCTGCAGTCAGCCTGGGCTTTGCAGCCCTATCCTTTTCCCATTCCCAGACAGGCAAATCCCAGCACAGCTCCCAGCTGCTACTGTGTGCAGGGTGGGCTGTGATCTCAGCTTGTCAAACTTGTCCTCTTTTTTTTTCTTTTTTTGTTTAAACTTAAAAATAATAACAGCTCTGCCACAAATCTCCTTCCCTCCCTTTCTCTAATGAAGGCATGGTACTTATAATTACCAATGCAGCAACTACGCATACAGAGGTGGCTTTGACACTTGCTTCTCAGTGGGTGGGTTTATAAGGAAACTCCTCTTTTTTTTTCCTTTACCATTTTTTTTTTCCTTACTTAGAGGAAAGAATCACTTACCTGCCTGCTTCCCATCAGCTCTGGGAGTGCATTACCGTGCTCTAAGGGTGACTGAATCTCTGTAGGCTGGATGCTATGGATGGACACATCAGCCCTGGGCAGCAGGGCTCAGCATGATGCGGTGGCACCGGTGCGTCAGTGGGGCCATGCAGGGATGCTGGACTTGTTGCCTGTGCAGCACAGTCATGTGCCTGCAGGACACGTGTGCGATGAGGCGAGGAAAGGGGGGAAGAAGAAAAAGAGTTATTTTTAGGTTTACTTTTCTGTGAATTCAGCGCTAGTGAGAAGTGCTGGATTGACAGCTCTGGAGATGGAAGCTGTCTGCAATCTGCAGGGAAGGGGAGCCCAGCATGTTGTCCTGCTGGGTCCGTGCTTTGGGATGGATGCTGAGGCTGGAGTGCGTTGGCCTGGGGTGAAAAACAACAGGAGGTCTGTCCTGTTGGCCAGGGCTGACCACTGGTGGGTTTAACATGGGGTAAAGCCTCCTAGTGGGGCACGTAGGATTGTTTGAGCTGGGGACTGTGGGTTCCTTCATGGTGGCTAAGTCAGCAGTTGCTTGTGGACCGAGTGAACCTACAGCAAAAGGGCTGAAATCCCTTCTGTGACAGCAGGAACATTGCTGTGTCCACTAATGAAATGGCCCAGGTGCATTTGTCATAGGCATAGAACCATTTGAGGTGGAAGGGACCTTCAGAGGTCATTTAGTCCAACTGTTCCTCAACGAACAGGGACTTCTCATCCCCACGTTCCTTGCAGACCATGGAAGGGGTTTTCACAGCAGGCTTCAGGCTCCCAGAGCAGCACCAATGGAGGGCACTGGGGGGTCCATGCTGTGCATCCCACACGTTGG